CCCTTTGAAACTGTTGAGGAGGGAAGTCTGTGAAGGGGGAGATGGATGTACTGGGTAACTGTGAAACCAGTGTAATTTGTAAATCTGCCATAACTTTTAAGAGAAAGTTGGGGCAGGCGTTTCCAGGGTTAGCATGCTTTCAGAAATCTTGGATAAATATGGAAATTTTCATTTCATTTCAGAGTGCTCTTATACCAATTTTTTGCTTTCTAAGTTTTACCAAGATTTTAGCAATTAATTAACATACAGACATAAAAGGTCATAAAATATTCATGATGACATTGTCATGTTATGTATTTTTATATATACATATATATATGCACACACACACATGCACACCCACAAAGTTACACACTTAATATCAATTTGGTTTTAAAAAGTTTAGAGCATATCAAATGCATACCACCTAGTAGAGTATCTGTCCATGAAGAATGAAAAAAATCTTTATTGTAATTGATCCTTTTCAATTCATTATGAAAGTTTTAACCCAATCAGTATAGAGAAAGCCACATTTTATTTTGTCAAACCAAAAACTTAATTCCTGTCTTTGCATAAAAGCTAACACGAACTGACAAAAATAATAGCATAACCCTCAGCATACATTAAACTGATGAAAGAAATTAGGAATGGCTTGGCAAAGATAAAACATAAAATTAATTTTTGTATTATTTTCTTTTCATTCAAATTCAAACCAGGTAGACTTTGTCAAATACCTATAGTAAAGAAGAACTTGTTCATGCATGCAGAACAAGATAAAATAAGATTAAAAGCACCAGGAAATCAGCCTGCTTCAAAAAACCATTAAAGTGTGCCTATCCCTCAAGCTTTACAAATGTGTTAATTGTCGTGTTTCAGTCATGTAAATATGTTTCAGCATAAAGTAACCAAGATCTCCTGTTATAGAAGTGCTCCTATCTGGGGGTGTGGGGGTAGGGAGGGACGAAAGAGGACTAAATAACACACTGTAATGAAACCTGCCTTTGGGCAGCACATGCTTTAGTTCTGAATGCCCAGAAATACTTCGCAGACGCTCTAGGCTGCCTAGCAATGGGGATTTTCTAATTCTGGCTAGCTTGACAAAGTAAATACAACTATTGAACATAAGGCAGCTCCTAATAAAAAGCAACAATTCCCCCTTGTAAACACCTACATTTGGACCCATTAAAAATTCTTTCTTCATACCCAGGAACTAGCAGACCCTTAAATGTGGGGGTCTCAAAGTAACTGGAGAGTAGTTGGGAGATTTAGTGCTGTCAGGATGTTTTACATTGCCATTTCCACTGAGCACTTCATACCCCATCTCAGAGCTTTGTAGAGTAATGTTCTGCATACACTGTAGGGCATTATGCAAAGAAACACATTGGCCATTATGCTCTCGGGACTCAGTCATGTACAGCCAAAAGGAAATCAACTCGTGTTCATATATATGTTATACAGTGTACAAAAACATATGGTTGCTACATTTCCCAGAGAAATGTTCATCAAAAATTGCCACTTGCGGAAGTTATTTAGTGGACTAACATTAATGTAATAACCCAAGCTATCTGGTAAATTATTTGATTTAAAAATTTCTTGCTTCCTGCTTTTTCACATTTTAGAATCATCTGTTCCATAAACTAAGTATCAGTCAAATCTCTGCCAGTACCTAATGAGATAGTGGGCCTATTACAGTTCTCAAACTCTTCAGGATTTGAGTCAACCTTGAAATATATGCACACATTTATCTGCTAACAGTTTACTAAGTAGGAAGTATCAGATAATAGTTAGGAACAAACATTGGTGTGAATTCTAATAGAAACAAAGATTGTTACTTTTTGCTACCTCCAGGGTATTTCCATATCATATGCTTTACAAGAAAAAGGAAAGAGGATAAAACGGAATTCTCATGTAATTAGTAGTTTAAATTTGTTTCTAAAGGATTTTTTTTTTCAAGCTCAACATTCAAATCTAAAAACACTGTATGTTCCTAAAATATCTTAGCATTCTTAAGGCACCTGGGGAGTAGTCCCCAGGATGCTGCTTCTAAAATGGTTCCTCACTTATCTCAAGTAGAAAAGGGACTTCCTGGGTGATGCAGGCTTGAAGATCCTATCAGAAAAACAATCCCCAAAGCTTTCCATCTTCTTTCCTTTACTATGATAGTAGCAGCAGGCTCTAGATTTCAAGCATCTTTCCATGTTGCCCTGCTGAAACTTCATTCAAATTCTATACACTCTGGAGCTTATCTGCTCCTGTCTGCACTGTGTGTTCCAGAGCCATACAAGCCTTGGGTTAAGCAGCAGTTAGAGACCAGAGAAAAGGCTACAGATTGAGAAGGCCTGCTATACATTTAAAGAAAGATGAATGGAAGGGAGTTGGCTAAAGAGATACAAGGAGCCCTGTTTAGGAAATGGTATACAATTAGAGAATCACAGGGATAGCAGTGTCCAGATATGACTTCTTCATCCCATTCCTTTATCCCAGAGGAAAAGCTGCAAGTTGGGGGGCACAAAGGAAAGGCATCTTTCACAGTGATTTTACTCTCCAATTTTAGATAACATTCAATAACATTCAAGTTGAATTAATCCAACTGTTACCTAAGTGATTTTTTTCACATCCTACTCATGTTGGAACACTAATGATAATAAAATGGAGAAAAGAATGAAGGAGAAACTCAAAGAAAAAAATAAAGAATATTGCCTTTAGTTTGCATAGAAAGTAAGAGCCATTTTAAGCAACATTCCCTAGGGACTCTCTAGTTTGTTCTCTATGGATGTATGAAATGAAGGAGGAGAAGAACCTGACTCACCAATATCTTAAATGTCTGAAAGTTCAAGAACAGTGAGACTGAAATGTGGTGTGTTCTTGTTTTTACATAGTTCAAAAGATTCCAATTTATGTTTTAAGAGATGTAAATTCTGCAAATCACTCACAGAAACTGTTAGTTTCTCCATCATGGACATTTCACACAAGGCTCAACCCCTCCACCGGATTCTTCATGGAGGACAGGCATGAGATTAAGAATCAACACTTGCCACAGGAGGAGGCTGTGAGGGAGAGAGGGTGGGGGACACACTAGATCATTAAGTTGTTAGGATATTTCTTCTGAATCAAAAGAACACAGGATCTAGAACAGTCAATATACAGAATTGGGAAATTCTGTCTTTAACAGCTATGCATGTTTATCAGTGGTGATTGTTTTCTGTAATTGAAAATGCCCATGCAAGGGCTAGGAATTGAGTTCAGTGATAGATTGCTTGCCTAACATGTTCCAGGCCCTAGATTTGATTCCCCAGCACCACAAAAAGAAAGAAAAACAAAATGCCCATGTAGGACTTGGTAAGGATATGGGCAAGATGGCCCTGGTGTTCACTGAAATAAGTTTCTATCACTTTCCTTGCTGTCCCTTTCCCTTAACAATTAAATCCAAGTCAATCACCAGTTTACAAACCCTACAAGATCTGACACCTGTCTACCAAGCCACACTTCTTAAAGTCTCTTCCTGCTTGTCAACTACTCCAGAAAAGCTGGCTATATTATTTTTTTTTCCTGTCCTTCAAATGTTCTAAGTTTATCCTGCCTCAGGTTTTCATAGCCTGAAACTTTTTTCTCCAGGTCTTGTAGGTCTCTTCTCAAATTTTAGGTCTCAGCTCAAATGTTCTCCTCAGAAATCCTCCACCTAGCATAGTACCCACAGCCAATATCATGTCACCATGTTTTATATCTTCAAAGCATCTCTCACTATCCAGATTGTCTTCTTCATTTGTGTGCTTTCCTACAGTTGTCACTCTCTTCTCGGGTCATGTAAATATTATGTGAGTTCTATGAAAGCAGAGACCTTGTTGTTCACTGGTTTGTCTCTCATGCTTAGAAAAGTTGGAGCACAGAGTATTAGGAGCATAGATATTGATGCCAGTTGACCCAGGTTCAATTCATTTGGATACACTGAAGTTGTGACACCACTCCTGCTCTTTTCCCATTGTTTTAAATTTTGTCACGTAGTCCACAGCTACCTGCAAGGGAAGTTTAGAAATGAAGTCTTTATTCATAATGGTCTTGTATTCAAAAGTTCTACTAGAAGGAAAAGGGAAAGTAGAGTGAGGAAGAATCCTACTGGCTAGATAGTGCAAAAATCATCTGTGATAGCAGTTTGTAGCACCTGATTCTGCTGTCTAGAAGAAAATTCCCTGTGTGTTCTTTGGGGGCTACACATTCATTGGTAGATCAGGTTTGAAGACCTAGGATTACTTTAGGAGTTGAATAATTATAGATTTGTGATCAGGCCTGTGGTTTCTTTGGCAATACAGTTTCCCTCAAGACTTCAAAAGGTTCCTGGGCTATTTGCTTCCCTTTAGTTCCACATACAAGCCAAAGAGCTTATCTAGGCATAGTTCTAGGACTCATTTACAGGAAACAGATACCACCACATTATTTTATACAGAAGGAAAATTTAAAACAGAAAATTTGTTGATTAGTGAAATAATTGGAAGCACTGGAGGATACTGCCACCAAAGTAACCTCAAGGGAAGTGGCTGCCTCTGCCTCATTCAGAGGAATCAGAAGCCCACAGATATGGCTGCTGACTGTAGACACACATCTCTGTGCCTGCCATCTGGGAGCTCGTAAGTCCTACAGCTGCCACTGCAATTGCTTCTTGACTCCCATGAAGCAAATAACACTTGCAGAAATACTGATCTGGCTTCAACTTCCACAACTGCCTCTCAACTCCCATCAAGTTGTTGACTAATCACTGGCATTCCAAATATCAGTGCCAAAAAAAGAATCGTCTCTTCAACAATGCCAGTTGCAGTAGTTAAAGCAGCAGGAAGACTGCTTCTGCTTCTCTTCCACCGTCTAGTCCTAGTACAGAGGCATCTAATGAGATAAACCTAATTCCCCTTTCCAACCCTCACATGTAAGAAGGCAGTTGGGGTTGGACACGGAGTGTCTATTCCCCTTGTCCACTACAACTCTTACATGTAAGGCCTGGGTCTTATTTTCTGCCCTCTCTATTCTACCCT